CAGATCCTAAAAGAAAATGATTTTCAACCTAGGCTGATGTACCCTGCAAAACTGTCCTTCAAATTTGATGGAGAAATACAATACTTCCATGACAAAGATCAGCTGAAAAACTTCATGATCACCAAACCAACCCTGCAAAGAATACTGAAAGATAGCCTAGATACAATTAGGAAAAAAACACTAAACAAAGCAGACAGTTGAACAGAACAGAAAGATAAACATGCAACACCAGAAAGATAATATGTAAACAATAAGCCAATTTATAACAGTTCTTACTATTAATGTAAATGGCCTCAATACACCAATTAAAAGAAACAGACTGGTAGAATGGATCAAGAAACAAAAGCCAACCATATGCTGTTTACAAGAAACCCACTTACCTCAAAAGGATACTTACAGACTCAAAGTCAAAGGATGGAAAACTACATTCCATGCAACAGGAACCCCCCCCCAAAAAAAAAGTTGGGGTAGCTATTCTGTTTGCAGACAAAGTGAACTTCAAGCCAATAATGATTAGAAAGGATAAAGAAGGTCACTACATACTGGTTAGGGGAAAACTCCAAGAGGAAGATATAACTATCTTAAATATATATGCTCCAAAGTCCAGAGCACCCAGTTACATAAAACAAGTACTAACAGAAATGACAAACCAAATCTGTAGTAATACAATTCTGACAGGAGATCTTAACACACCATTGACACCAATGGACAGATCAACCAAAAAGAAAATCAACAAAGAAATAAACGAACTGAATCGCACCTGTGAACAAATGGACTTAATAGATATATAGAGTATTCCACCCAGCAACAACAGAATACACATTCTTCTCAGCATTACATGGATCATTCTCTAAAATAGACCATATATTAATTCACAGAACATATTTAAATAAATGAAAAAGGGTTGAAACTGCATGCTATCGGACCATAGCACCATGAAACTAGTAATCAACGATAAGAGATACTGCAAAAATCCCACAAACACATGGAAACTGAATAACACACTCCTGAGTAATCAGTGGGTCACAGAGGAAATTTTTTTTTAATTTATTACTTTATTTGTTAATATGAAGAAGAAAAGGTAAAACAAATTTTCACAACCAAATAACGAGAAAGTAACAATTGTTGATAAATTACCCAACATTATCTTTAGTCACTCAAGTACAAAATATGGGCATAAAAATTTCTTCAATCAATATTAGCAAAACCTTTTCTATTCAGTGAACTAAGTGACATTAATGGTATAACTAACTTGCATTTTTTTTTCTTTTCCCTTCTATCCTTTCTCTTTTCCCCTATCTTGGTTTCTTGTTTTTATTGAACAGTTTCTTTCCATTTCACAGTGACTGTTGTATATTTTGAACCTTATGGTTTCACATATGTCACTGTGGTGTGATGTTTTTAATCCTTCTGGGAAGATACATAGAAGGGGAATACCTGGGTTGAATGAGACGTCTAATCCTAATTTTTTGAGGAATCTCCACACTAATTTCCACAGTGTTTGTACTAATCTACTCCCTAACCAACCAACAGTTATAAAGGGCTTCTTTTTCTGTATAGAACCGGGAGCAGTTTTTATTGGTTGATATATTTTTTTTAAAAAATTAAATGAGTTTTTAATGAATAATGGAGAGGATTAGATAAAAGGGGGCATAACAACATAACAGTACAGGTTAAAGCATAACACTTTAAGCAACCTAGTGCTTCACGACCAATTAACCCGACTTAATAGTGGTTACCATAGTGTCTTTTTCTTTGAATTATTTGAATATAATTTCATAGGCTATAGCATCAAATATATCAAGACTGTGTAACACCATTCAAGTGGATATAAGCATTGAAGAGTATTTAGAATCAGCTAACAGAAGAAATGCTCAATGGTTTCAATATTATCCCTTTGCCTATAACAATTTTTGTTTATACTATCACATACGATAAAATTCAGCAAGTTACAACATGGTAAAATTAATGCAGACAGAAGAACCATAGTTTGGAGTGGCTTTAAGACAAGATGTTATTAAATCTGCACTAGGTGTTATTATGTCTTATTTTCTGCAAAGTGGCTGTTCATTACATCACTGGCCATGATATCAATAAAGCGAAAAGTAAGAATCACATGATCATTTCCATAGATGCAGAAAAAGCCTTCGATAAGGTCCAACATTCTTTCATGATAAGAACTCTACAGAAAATTGGAATAGATGGTCTTTACCTTAATATAATAAAGGCCGTCTAGGACAAACCAACAGCCAGTATCATACTAAATGGCCAAAAATTGAAACCCTTTACTTTAAAATCAGTCACAAGACAAGGATGTCCTTTATCACCTCTCCTATTTAATATAGTACTGGATGGACTAGCCAGAGCAATTAGACAAGAGAGAAAAATAAAAGAGGTTAAGATAGGGAAAGAAGAATTTACATTGTCATTATTTGCAGATGACATGATACTCTACATAGAAGACCCCCTCAACTCCATTGAAAGACTCTTAGATATAATCTATAAGTTCAGTAATGTAGCTGCATACAAAATCAATATTCAGAAATCAATAGCATTCTTATACACTAATAAAAAAATACAGAGAGTGAAATAAGAGAAGCCACACTCTTCACACTAGCAACCAAAAAATGAAATATTTAGGAGTTACTCTTACGAAAGAAGTGAAAGACCTATACAGGGAAAATTATAATATACTGAAGGAAGAAATTGACGAAGATCTCAGAAAATGGAAAGACATCCCATGTTCATGGATAGGAAGAATAAACATTGTGAAAATGGCCATCCTCCCAAAACTGTTATACATATTTAATGTAATTCCAATAAAAATACCATCAACATACCTCATAGATCTAGAGAAATCATTCCTAAGGTTCATCTGGAACCAGAAGAGACCTTGAATAGCAAAGGCAATTTTAAGCAACAAAGGCAAGGCAGGAGGCATCACAATCCCTGATTTGAAGTTATACTACAAAGCAACAGTAGTAAAATCAACATGGTACTGGAATCAAAACAGAGCAGAGGATCAATGGAATAGATTAGAAGATACAACCACAACTACAAACACACTCAACCACCTTATCTTCGATAAAGGAGCCAAGCAGGTTCACTGGAAGAACGACAGTCTTTTTAAGAAATGGTGTTGGAAAAACTGGCTCTACATTTGCCGAAAACTAAAACTCAACCCAAGCCTATCATCACCATGTACTAAATTAAAATCTAAATGGATTAAAGATCTGAATATTAAAACAGAAACACTAATACTATTGGAAGACAAATTAGGTAGAAACCTTGAAGAAATAGGGCTAGGTAGAGAATTCATGAACAGGACTCAAACTGCACAGGAAATACTTCCCAGAATCAATAACTGGGACTACCTCTTATTAAAAAGTTTCTGTAAGTCAAAAAAAATTTCCAGCATAGTGAAAAGAAAACCCACCAACTGGGAAAAGATCTCAGTGAACTCCCCTTCAGACAAAGAACTTTTGTCTATAATATATAAAGAATTTTTAAAAAATCAGACCCCCAAAATTCAAAGATCCAATCCAAAAATGGGCATCTGAGATGAATACACAGTACTCAGAGTAAGAAATCCAGATGGCAAATGAATACATGAAAACATGTTCAACATCATTGGTTATTAGGGAAATGCAAATTAAAACCACACTGAGATTCCATCTCTTTCCTGAAAGGATGGCCAGGATCAAGAAGACCAACAACAACAAGTGCTGGAGAGGCTGTGGGGAAAAAGGAACTCGCCTACACTTTTGGTGGGAGTGTAGACTGGTTCAACCTTTGTGGAGGTCATTCTGGAGATTTCTCAAAAAGCTGGGATTGGAAGTCCCATTTGTTCCAACTATTCCACTTTGAGGGATATTCCCAGAAGAACTGAAAGCATCATACCAAGGTGATATATGCACACCTATGTTTATAGCAGCACAATTTGTAATTGCCAGATCATGGAAACAACCCAAATGTCCATCAACTGAGGAATGGGTAAAAAAGCTTTGGTACTTCTATACAATGGAGTATTACTCAGCTATAAAGAAGGATCACATTGAGGTATGTATCAATAAATGGGCGCAGCTTGAAATCATACTCATAAGTGAACTAAATCAAACTCGCATCTGTGAACTCCGAATAGTTTCCCTAGTGTGGGAAATGAATCAAATATATAAAAGTACGTGATAACCAGGATTCCCCATTATATGGCCTTGAAGCCTTATAAAATTTTCATGCATTACTTCGAATGGCTTTATTCTGGGCTGTTGGATACCATGGCCAGTGATGCAATGAACAGCCACTTTGCAGAAAATAAGACATAATAACAGCTAGCGTAGATTTAATAACATCTGGTCTTAAAGTCACACCAAACTATGGTTCTTCTGTCTGCATTGATTTTACCATGTTGTTACTTGCTGAATTTTATCGTATGTGGTAGTATAAACAAAAATTATTATAGGCAAAGGCATAATATTGAAACCATTGATCATTTTTTCTGTTAGTTGATTCTAAATACTCTACAATGCTTTCATCCACTTGAATTGTGTTACATAGTCTTGATATGTTTGATGCTTTAGCATATGAAATTATATTCAAATATTTCAAAGAAAAAGACACTATCGTAACTACTACCCTCTGGTCACAACCCTGTCATCCAGTATAATAATCAAAGATATCAGTGTGGGTATTTTCAAGTATGGGGTGATGATATATGACTAACCTCTGCAGCAAAGCATCTTCAACAGAAAGCTCCTGTGTGCAGGAAATAAAATATTTATTGTGCACAATTGCCAAACATTACTAAGCCCTTGGAATGGACCCTTGTGACCAAAACCTGCAGATAGTAGTTTTATAGGATGAAATCTGGTTAGCACCTGATTGGGCTAATCATCCCAGAATTAGATGGAGAGTTCCTAACGGAACATTGGTTTTGTGAAACATATGGTCTTGGTTGCTTCTTGGATGGATAGGAAGATATATTGGGATTTCCTTTATTACAGGACAGATGGATCAAAAGTATCACCCAGCCATCCAGTCTATCATCCCTCCAACACCATTGGTCCTGAAGAACGTTTTACTGATCTGACCACTCAGCCTCCATGTTCCTTTTGTCTAGGTTTTGAGAGCAAAATTTTACATGTAGAATCACTAGTTTACTACACTAAATGACATTTTTATGACTCCCTAGAAAGACTATTGCTACTGGGTTTTGGGATGTTGGAGTCTCCTCCTTGGGGTGGTTTCTAGGTTCTTTCTGTCCAGAGCAAAGAGCAATCAAGACAAGCATAAACAGCAGCAAAGTTTTATTAAAGTCTGGCAAGGAAACAGGCTCTGAAGAGTGAATGTGGACCAAATAAATGTGGAAAAAGAAGTACACCCTGCATCGTGAGGGTGATCCACCATGGAAGACTGAATACAGTAGTAATATCTCAATGTAGACCGTCCTTTTGTGTCACCCATGCCTCAAGTTGATGTCAGGTGTAGGCTAGTCTATCAAAACTTGGCTCAAGTTCTGGCAAGAAGTCCACATTGCTGGGCTTTGGGAGCTGTTCTGCACATGTGTCTGGGATTTTATAATTAACAGATCATACCTACTATTCAGTCAACCCTAATCTCCTGTCTAATTTCCCCCTAAGAGACATGTATGCACAAACATTTTTATGTGGTGCTGAGGGATTAGATGTTTTTGTCTTTAGCTTCTGGCTAAGATGGGGTTTTAGATACTACCTACGATGGAGTAAGTGCTCTTCAAATACATTGGGTTGTTGTGACTCACTGGTTTGAAGAAAAAAAAAAAAACCTGTCAGAAGGCAATGAGAAGAGTTAGTGTCTATTGAGCTACCTGTTCAATGGGATAAATAAGCTTTACTATAATATTATGAATGTAGAACCCAAATATGATGAACAGCTCAGATTTCTATACTTCTTGTGTAGGGTAAAATATGGCAAAGAGAGAGAGGGCTTAGATAAATTATCGAGAACCTAATAGCCATAACCTTAGCATGATTACCCACATAAGGGATTTTATTAAAAATGGGACCCTCAATACAGGTGCCCACTTTAAGATGAGATGAACTGGAGTCATTAGTGACTCTTTATCTGCACACAGAACAATACTAAACTCATGCTTTTTTAAGAAAAGCCTCACGACTAAGAGTAGCTTTTTCTTAGTCCTTTGACATTTTTAGTTACCATTTCCTATGTAGGATTTTTATACCTTGTTGCAGCATCGCATGAGGAAGGACCAGAATGGTTCTTGAGAAACAGAGTAAGCCTAAAGCCTTGAGGAGTGATGCAGTGCCCTCCTTGCCTCCATATCAGCCTTTCAACTTTCCAAGGAAACTTTAGACCTTACTCTTTGGAGTCTTTTGCAAAGAATGTCTGCATCCTGTTTGGGAAGACGTACTGCCTCTAGGAGTTATAGACTTTCCTGCTTGTGTTTTATAAGTTATTGCTTATTAGTTGCCTAGTTTCTTCTTTCAGATTGCTGTGCGGCCATATAGAACTAGAAAGGAATATTTTTTTTAAGTACATATATAGTCTTCATCTGCAAACCAATCTTTAGCCTGTAAAACTACTACCTGCAGGCACTTGCACAAGTGTCCATTTAATATACTTGATAGTGTTTGGGCAGTATGCACAAGAATAGTTATTTTATTCCCAGCACAAAGAATCTCTCTGGCTAAGAAGATATATAACAATGCCTTTTTCTGAGTAAGGGCTATGAGCTGTGTTCTTTGAGCAATTGTTCCAGAGGAAGTTGGCCTTAGTGATATGTTGTGAACTGCTAACTGTGTGACCTGCCTTTTGATATCCCTTTTGGACAAAATTCCTTCCATCAGTGAATCATACCCTTTTGCATTCTTGGTGTAGCAAGCAGGTCATTGATGTCTTGCCTGCTTGCATTGGTCTTACGGATCACTTATTCACAGGGTGGCTAATTTCTGTGTTTGTAGGTATCTGAGAGGCAGTATTAAGAATAATGTACATTTTGTAATAGCCTCAGGAGTGTGAGGAGAATGACCTGACTTGGTAAACCATTCTCTTGTTAATCACAACTAACCTTTTGTCTCCAAGGTTATTCTGATCAATGGGAAATCAGGTCTAAAAGTCACTGTCCTAAAGTTCATTTGGCAGCTTCCTGTGTTAGCATCACTGTAGTTGCTATTGTTTTAGGCAGGGTGGCCATCTAGTAGCCACTCTCTATTTTTTGAAAAGTATGCCAATGGATGGAATTCTTGGTGCAGCCTTTGGATCAAGATACCCAAAGCAATTGCTCTGATTTCTGATATGCAGAAGAAGGGTATTTTAAAGACAGGTATTATGCCATGCAGTAGAATCCATCTGTTGGCTAATTAGGGGAGGAAGACGTGGCATAGGCCCAACAGGTTAAATCCATTTTGGCCTTTGTTTGAATTTGAGAATTGCCCCCAGTTTTGCTAGTGAACCTATTTGTAACAAAGAAGTAACACTGTGGGACAATTATAAACTCATGATTAAAAATTTGTACTTCAAAGTGACACATCAGAACAGGAGTAAACAATATATAACTATGGGTCCCCTCCACCCTCACTATAGCTATGTATCTAGAGGAATGTTTTCCTGAGAAGTAAGTCAATACAGAACAGAGTAATTGAATGGGCTCACCCATAATTTCCTGTTAACCAGGATTCCTCACAGGAAATAGTTATGTTCTCAGATAGAGACATTGCCAGTCATGTATACAGTGTGCGGTCTTCTTGCACTTAAAACAGCAGTCTTAGTTGTCCTTGGGTATTCCTGTAGACAATTTGTGTGATTTTAAAGCATTGCAAATTTCAACAGCTATAATATTAGCCTTTTGACCGTCCCCCAGATCTTAATTGTTTAAAACAGAAGAAGCCATGTCCGGTAATTGCATCACAGGTGTCTAGGTTCTTATCTGAATTTACTTCAATAAACAGATGGACAAAACCCATATCTTCATGAGGAACAAGGGGATCTGAGGACAGGACCCTCAAAGATTGTGTGTGTGTGTGTGTGTGTGCGCGCGCGCGCGCACATGCATGTGTGTCCTAGCTACTTTTCTCATTGCTGAGACAAATTACCTGATACCCAAAGGTAAAGGAGGAGAGTTTTATTTAGCTCACAATTTGTAGAAGTTTAAAGTTCTACTTGCTGGGCTCCAAGGCAGGGTGGCATAGTAGATCGGTGTCACAGAGGAGAAGCCATACGTAGCAGGCAGAAGGCCAAAGATAGAAAGGCAAGCAACAAGCCCTAATGGCAACTCCTTTCTGTCCATTTATATTTTATCTAGGTTGGGTAGAAATTATACCCCAAACTATGCCAAGCCAACCAGTAGACTAATTTAGTAATCACACATCCTTAATTCCAGTAACACACACTGTAGATCCAACCATGTCTAAAAAACTCCCTAACCATCAGTTGAGGCTTTGGGGGAACATGTAGACACAAGCTATATTACTCTTCCTTAGGGGGCCATTCTAAATGCCATAGTTTCTGGATGTTTTCCGTGATAAATGACCACAAATCCTTGAACATCAAAGATTTCACTTTACCTGCTGTTTTAATAAGAAACAGTTTAACTGAAAAATAATCTCAATACTTTAAACTACCATACTATACCCATGTCTTGCCATTTCCTGGCTCATTCTGAACTCAAGCTATGTGAGAATGTCAGTGGAATCCACTAGGTGTGGTTCACGAAGTTGCTCGTGACTTGTCCTGGGGTCTATAGAGAGACATAGAGTCATTAGATCCTTAAAATGACATCCAGTGCAGAAGAATGAGACCTAATAATCCCACAAAGTGTCCTTTGTGAAAGTTAAGTATTTAGTAAATAATCTCTATCTGAAACTCATAGAAATGTCCTTTTGAGCCACATGATGGCTCTAGCTCTACTACTGTTGGTTTCTATGAGGTGAAAGGTCCCAAAAATGAGGTACAGTAGATGAAAAGAAAATAAGAGACAAGCAAGGTTATGGGATCAGGGGCCACAGTCTCTAAGACTTCATGAAGCCTGGATTATAATTTTCTCTGGCTTTTTATTAGAGTCTTTACAAAAAGCAGATACAGGAAATGGAAGAGGTAAAGTACAGATAAATAAGAACTTAGTTGTTTAACTATCCCAGGGACCATCTCTGGCTATATATGGCCTTCATGTTTACCATTCTTTTGGGCACGCCTTAACAAAGCATCTTGTGTTGCCCCAGCAGCATTCCACTGAGATTAAGGTTCTGCATTCATTTCCTTGACATAATGCATCTGTAAGACTTCCTCCAGAACAAGCAATTCTATGGCCTAGTAGAGCTCAAAGTCCCTGGGGTAACCAAAGGCTAAACTAGTTTAAGTTAATCTATGACTCACATACTATGTTTTGTGTCCTTAAAATGAAATCCCATGCAGATAGCAGAGACCTTATTTGAACCCAGGAAGTGTTCCTTGTGAGATGCTGACATTTCTGTCTGGAGCACTAGCATCTTTCATAGATGAATGGAAAAAGTCCTACTGAGGACTTTTTGTCTCCATACTGGGGCCCACTAATTCCTTAGAGACAGAGGGAGTTACAGCACTGGACGATGCTATCTCATACTTTAAAATTCCTATGAGATTAGTGTAACATATATAAGTAGCAGAAACCAGTAGACTTGTGTAAGGGCAACATGACATTGAATTTATTGTGCCTGGATTCATACAGAGAGCAGGATAAAACCTTCTTCCCTAAACAAAGGGAAATATGTCCCTTTTATAAAGGATGGAGGTAAGGCAGAGGACAGACATTAGGTGGGAGCATCTTTGGTTAAAGTTTTATGGTAATCTTACATCTTAGTCGGCAGAGTCCTTTGAAATGTCCATTGTAATTTTTGGGTATCTCTAGATGTCTCTAGTACCTGAAAAATTCCTTGTCCTATCTTATCTCCTTTCCTGTGCTTGCCAGTGACAGCTTTGGGTGCTAAGCTGATTTTCCGGCAGAGTAGTGCTTGCACTGTCAAACATGTTGGGGGCTGGGAGAGCCAAGTCCAGTTGGAGACTTATAGTTAGGGTAGAATCTTTCCCCACGTAAATTCCTTTAGACATGGTTAGGCTTCTTAATGCTTTTATTTAAGCAATGTGGAGGCACTTGATAAACCATAGGTCTTGCATTTACACTGTTAATAAAACTTGGTGCTCTGTTTAAAGCAGTAGAGATAGACTCACAATCAATTGAACTAAGGTTTACTGACCTACTTTTCTGTTCAGGCTATTAGTCATAGGTTTTTAAATTACCTGAACTTTGTTACCAGAAACAAGTGTTCTAAAAACAAATATGGTGTTGGCTGACCCAAAATAGTGTCCAGCTCTGTGACAAGACAAAATGGTGGCCAGACATGTGATGAGACAAGATGAATACTATGATTATGCAAAATAAACAGCCATTTAGTAGCATAGCACAGATGAGACTTGGAGCACAAAAAGAAGTAAACTGGTGTAGGTGGGTAGTCAGGCAGCCTACCAAGTTAGCAACAGCTATTTTTCCTAAAAGAGTAAGAAATCTGAGCAAAGTATCATGGAGAACAAAAATGAGAGGATAAAAGGCCATAAATAACAGACTTACTGGCTATTTAACACACACACAGAGTGACCACAAATAGGAAAAAGAAATAAAAGGGGAGACAAATTTGAAGTGGGAGACAAATATGAAGTGGGTCTGCAGATCTCTCATGGGTTAAAGGAAAATCCAGAGGCTACAACTTGACTTTTGAAAACACTACTCTGATGCTTCTCAGCAGAAAGAATTTAGATGGGCCATTGGTTGTCTGCCTTTAATTACAGTTAGGGACATCTCTTCACAAGGGGAAATATTACAAATAGGCAAGTTAGATACTGGGCCCCAAGTAGAGTTAGTATGGCCAGACCTTGGTCAGATAAGCAGCAGCCTGAGGTCAACAGTTAATAAGAACAAGATGCACAATAAAATCTAGGGATTTAACAAGCAAAGTAAAAAAGAGGTAATGGATGACTGCTGTAACAATTTCTCTTGTACCCACCTGGAAAATGTTTACTCTTGTAAACTTGCCAGTTGTCTTCCACACTGTACCCTTCCATAACTACCCTGGTCTAAATAAACCTTTGCATTTTCCACATTCCTTGTCCATAAATTCCTTATCTTACACCATCTCCATATCACTAGCTATAACTTATGAGAGACTTCTTATTTCTCAGCCAAAAATAAGTGTTTTGGGACATTACTTTGTATTTGTCAATTTTTTTTTTTTTTTTTTACATTTTCTGGGAATGTAAAAGAACTGAACTAAGTGAGATGCCCACCCAGCCCAGCATGTCACCCCAATGCCATCTTTCATGGATGCTCCCTAACAAGCCATATGGGTCCCAGAGAGCTGAGCACCACTCACCCCAATGCAGTGCCCTGTTGCAGTCGATCAGGGGTGCACTCCAGCTAACTGTGTGGGCCTCAAAGAAGCGGAGCCCTATACAGGCCAGCACAGTTCCCTGTCACAATCCACTGAGGAAATACCCAGCAAGTTATGTGGGCCATAGAAGAGCCAAGCTCCATCCAGCCCAGCACAAAAGATCTAGTGCCATCATTTTGAGGTGCGCCCTTGCCAGTTACATGGATTTTGGAGGAGCTGCCCTGTGCATCACCTAGGTGCCATTAGTGGAGTGCCTCAGGGAGACATGTGGGTCTAGAGGAGCCCTATCCAGAAACTTTTCAGTGTCAGGGTATCTCTGGTGAGCAGAGGGAGGGTAGAAGCCCCACCCATAATTTTTCTATCACCCTGCCCTGGGAACATCAGTTCAGAGGAACCCAGGTGCCTTGCCCCTCAACTATACTGCAGTAGAGGTGGTCAATGCAGGAAGTGCCTTGACCTAAACAATTGGCTTGTCTGGATGAGCCTAGAAAAATCACAAAACAAAGGAGAAAAAATGCAATCTCAGACCTCCAGCCCACCCAGAACAAACTGAATGACATGGAAGAAATTGGAAGTTTCCCTCAATAAATTTCTAAAATGATATCAACTGAAGTAAAGAGATGACTGCATAAGGTTGTGAAGGAAATCAAATTGAAAATATCACATGCAAAAAATCACAGTCATTATGAAAGAATTATTGAGAATGCCTAAGAAGACTAGATAAACAAATAGAAGATCATAGGAAAATGGTGGAAATCTTGAGTGAACAATATAGGAAAGAATTAGAATGCATGAAATATTCAAAGACCTATTCAGGAAATTAAAATTTCCTTTGGAAGATTGCAAAACTACGTGAAAAAACTAAAGATAGACTTTTAGACCTAGAAGACAGGACTGAAGCTAATGATCATCAAAGGAAAGATTCCTTAAAAGTAAAATGCAAGGGGCTGGGGATTTAGCTCAGTGGCATAAGTGCCTACCTTGCAAGCAGGCAGTCGTGAGTTCAATCCCTGGTACTGATAAAAACGAAAAAGACAAAAAAAAAAAAAAAAAAGTAAAATGCAACCAGGAAATAATGCAGCAGCTGCAAGATAATGCAAAGAAATACAGTATAAGAATGATAGCTGATCATAAAAGAGCAGGAGTGAATATAAATGACATAAAAAGACAAATTTTCAGAAGTAATAGAAAATTTTCCAAGTATGGGAAAAGAATCTGACACACAGATAAGTGAAGCATAACCAAAATCAATCTACACCCAGGCATATTTAATACTTAATTTCCCAGAAACTCACCACAAGAACAGAATAATGAAAGCTATTAGAGAAAAGCCCCAGATCGCCTTTAAGGAAAGCTCATTAGAGTCATGGCAGACTTATCAATACAAACCCTCAAGTCAAAAAGAGCTTAGAGTAAAGTATTTCAAATTTTGAAAGAAAATAACTTCCAATCCAGATTGACATACCTTTCAAAACTATCTTTGAAAATCAGTGGATAGATAAGATACTTCCATGCAAAGAACAATTGAAGAAATTTATGACCAAACTAAACCTACAGAGTACTGAAAGATACTCTAGAATGAAGTAAAAATAACCACAATTCCAAGAACAACAACAGAGAATAACCACAAAGCAGGGTAAGCAAGAACTTAAACAGAGAGAAAAAGTAGAAAACCTACAACAGGAATATAATTTGACAAACAAATCAATACATTTCAGATGTAACCATCCATGTAAATGGCCTCATTTCACCAATCAAAGAAACAGATTGCCAGAATAGATTAAGAAACAAAATCCAACAATATGCTGTATATAAGAAACACATTTAAACTGAGGATGTAGCTCAGCAGTACAAGCACCAGCCTGAAAAGTACAAGGTCATAAGCTCAACCTCCAGTATCAAACAAACAAAAAAAGTTTAACTCAAAAGTAAACTCATAGACTAAAAGTCAAAGGATGAAGAACAATACTCCATGCAACAGGAACCCAGAAAAAAGCAGTAATAACTATTTTACTTATAGATAATGTAAACTTCAAACCAAGAATGATCAAAAGAGATAAAGTCACTACATAGTTGTCAGGGGAAAACTTTAAGACAATGGGATAATAATAATAAATAAGTATGCCCTAAACATGAGAACAATCAACTACAAAGGACAAACATTAATAGACATGAAAAATCAAAAATTAATAACACAGTTGTGAAGGGGGAACTCAACACTCCATTATCGCGAAGAGATATATCAACTAGACAAAATCAACAAAGAATAACAGAACTGAACCAAACCTGTGAACAAACAGACTTAGTAGAGTGCTCCAGCCTGCATCTTCGAATACACATTTGTCTCAGCTGCACACATGGGATATTCTCTAAAATAGACCATATACTAGCCCACAGAATATGCTTAAGCAAATGCAAAGGAATTGAAATTATCCCATTCAGCCAGGGATTTAACTCAGTGGCATAAGCACCTGCCTGGCAAGCATGAGGGTGTGAATTCAATCCCTGGTTTAAAAAAAAAAAAAAGGAAAGAGAAAAAGAAAAAAAATTATCCCATTTATATTATATCACCATGGGTTGGTAACACTGGAAATTAATGACCAAACAACCACAAAAATGCCATAAACACATGGAAATTGAATAGCACCCTCATAAACAATGGGTCATAGAAGACATTGAAGAAAAAATTATACAATATCTAAATTGAACAAAAATGCAAATCTATTACTGGAGCCTGTGGAACACAGTGAAATCAATCCTCAGTGAGAATTTTATAGTTTTGAGTTTTCATATCAGCAATACAGAATGAACACAAATAAGTCTAATGATGCCCCTTAAGTTTCTAGAAAAAGAAAAGCAAGTCAAGCCCCAAAAGTGAGGAAATTATAAAGATCAGGGGAGAAATTAATGCAATTTAAACTTAAACAACAGTACAAGAAATTGATGAGTTCAAGGGTTTATTCTTTGAAAGAATAAATTAAGCTGATTAACCATATAAAAAAGAATAAAGAAAAACTCAAACTCATAAAATAAGAAATCAAAAGGGTAAAATCACTATAGATTCTGTGGAAATTCAGAAGATTATCAATATTTACTTTGAAAATCTATACTCTAATATGATGAAAACAACAGAATAAATGGACATACGTTCCTGGAAACATGAATTATAAAACCTGAATCAAGGAGACATAAATATTCTGAATAACTTAATATCAGTTGTGGAGATTAAAAACATAATTAAAACGTAACCAACAAACAAAATCCCAGGTCCTGATAGTTTCACAGCTGAATTGAACAAGAAATTTAAAGGTAATTTAATGTAAATACTCCTCAAACTCATTAATGAAATTGAAAAGGAAGAAATTATCCCAAACTCATTCCTGCAGGCAAGCATTACTGTGATACTAAAACCAGAGAGATACCCTACTAGAAAAAAGAACTATAGGCCAAACTCTCTAATCAACATAGATGCAAAAATTCTCAATTACATACTAACCAACAGAATTGTGCTAAGCAAGAAGATGATACACCATGACCTAGTGGGATTCCTCCAGGAATGCAAGGATGATTCACCATCTGAAAATCTATAAAAATAATACACCACATCAACTGAACTAAAAAGGAAATAACTTGATCATCTCAATAGATGCAGAAAAAGCTTTTGATAAAGCCCAACATTCACCCATGGTTAAAACCTTACAGAAAATCAGAATAGATGATCTCTACCTCAATCTGATAAAGGCCGTATATGAAAAATCAACAGTCAACATCATACTAAATGCACAAAAACTGGAAGCCTTCACTCTAGAATCAGGAGCAAAATAAGGTTGTCCACTATCACCACTCCTATCTAAAGAATTAATGGTTCTGGAAACATTAGCTATAGCAATTAGACAAGAGGAAAAAATAATAGTGTATAAGTACAGAAATGAAGAAATTAAATTGCCATTATTTGCAGATGACATACTCTCCATACAACACCCACAGATTTCTGGACTTAATAACCAAATTCAGTAGCATAGAAGGATGAAAAATTAAAACTTAAAACTCTATAGCATTCTTGTATACAAACAGTGAACTGATTGAGATAGAAATTATGGAAACCACACCCTTCACAATAACATTCAAAAAATGAAATACTTAGGAATCAACCCAAGATAGGTAGTAAACCTTTAATTCATTGAAAATTACAGTATTCTTTAAAAAGAAATTGAAAAGGAATTCAGAAAATTGAAAGCTATCATTTGCTCATGGATGGAAAGAACCAACATTGTGAAAATGCCATACTTCCAAATCGTTGTGCTCATTTAATGCAATCCCAATCAATACTTCACAGATCTAGAGAGAACATTCCAGGAATCAATCTGGAACCAGAAGAGACCTAGAATAGCAAAGGCAATCCTGGGCAACAATGACAAGGTGGGAAGACTTACAATACTTGACTTGAAATCATACCATAGAGCTACTATAATAATATTAGTATGGTACTGATGAAAAAAACCAGACCTGAGGATCAATGGTATAAGGGACCTGGCCAACATCCCTAACTACCTGTATGAGAGATATGACAACAAAATGAAATAAGAAACAAATTTAGTAGTATATGATGGGGAATTCAGAATAAGCAGAGACCAAGATACTCCAAACCAGATACTATTTATTGGGTGTATACAATGTAGGAGGACTAGTAGAAGAATTAAGGTTGGCAAAAAATTCAGAGGTCAATCACTCAGCAGCCAACAAATAATCCTGGTAAGCCTCAAGAGGGTAGAGATGATCTTATGCTGAGAAGGATCTTCCTCTGGAGTGTTCTTTTTAATCTTAATAATTTTAGTTTCGTCTTATAGGATAGGAAAGAATGACTCATTCCAAGACAGTTAATAGGAGGTATCAAAAGGTGATACTATAATCCCAAGCCTCCATTTATGCCTTAGGAAACTATGCAAAATGAGCCATTGAGAATTTGAAGACCCTAACTCAATGGGAAAAAAAAGATGATGCAGGAACAACTTAAAAACACACTCAGCCACCATTGATAAAGGTGCCAAACATTTTCACTGGAAGAAGATAGCCTCTTTAATAAGTGGTGCTGGAAAAACTGTGTTTCCAAATTCTGAACACTTAAACTAGACCCATGTCTATTAGCACGCACTGCCCTAATGTCAAAATAGATCAAAGATCTAAATACTAACTCAAAAATACTAAATCTACTGGAAGACAAAGTAAGAGGAAACAGGGATAGGCAGATACTTCATGAACAAAAACCAAACTGTATGGGAGATACTTCAAAGAATCAACAACTTGAATCTCATTTTATTAAAATGTTTTTGCACATGAAAAGATGCCAACAGATTGAAAAGAAAACCCACAAATTGGGAAAACATTTTTTCAACTGTCCCTCAAAGGACTTCTATTTAGAATGCATAAAGAATTCAAAAAATCAGGCCTCTGAAATTCAAAGATCCAATCCAAAATGGGCATCTGAGGTGAAAACACAATTCTCAGATGAAGAAATACAAATGGAAAATGAAAATATGAGGGCTGGGGATTTAGCTCAGTGGCATAAGTCCCTCCCTTGCAAGTATGTGGTCATGAGTTCAATCCCTGGTACTGATAAAAAAAAGAAGATAAGCTCTTGTTCTTTGGCTGGTCCGTGTGCAGTGGTGTTTACAACTAATTGATAACAATGAGTTACAGATTTCTTTGTTCCTTCTCTACTCCCACTGCTTCACTTGACTAGCCTTAAAAAAAAAAAAAAAGAAAATATGTTCCACATCATTGTTCATTTAAGAAATGCAAACTGAAACAACACTGAGATATCATCTCACTCCAGAAAGAATGGCTGCCATCAAGAAATCAGCCAATAACAAATGCTGGAGGGACTGCGGGGGCATGTCAACATTTCTCCATTGTTGCTTGGAGTGTAGACTGGAACTACTATGTGGAAATCAGTGTGGAATTTCCTCAAAAAACTAGAATTAGAGGTTGCATTTGACCCAGCTATTCCCCTTCTGGGCATTTCCCCAGAAAAATTAAAAATGTCATACATATATATGTTATGTGCACCCATATTATAATCCCAAATATTGAGTACATTTATCCAAGTGTTATAATCCTTTTTCCAGTATACCTCAAAATCCAAAAAGTTACATTTATTATCCCAATGAGACATTATTGGAATCCCAGCAAGTTAATTCCAATTTACCACCTCCAATGGAACTAACAGCTAGACTAAGACACCAAAATATATTCCAAGTTAAGGGCATCCAAGAGGTCTTAAGTCCAATCTCCGTGAGGCTGTGTGGACAAAGGCCTTGATCCTAGGCCTCTTCCAGAATGTATTGTGAAGAAAGGAGTGGCTTGAGGATGAGAGACAGTGAAGATAGTGGGAATTATGTGAGTAACTTCAGCTGGCTAGCCAGGTAGTGAGAAAAACATTCCTGCAAAATGCAGAGATAAAGATATATAGAAGGATATATTTGCATAATTCAAGTAAGGTATCACCTAAGTTGTTTCAGAAGGTGGTTGCTTGCTTTTATTTCTGATATGTAAACTTTTGTGTCCTGGGTCCTCAGTAGCCCCCGAGCATCATGAATTATGGACTCAACCAAATCTAGCATTTGTGATTGGTTTGTTGTCTACCCTCAGATTGGTGGTGTGAGTGCTACACCCAATTAGGGGTGGAGCCAGCGTAGGATGTAATGGCAAGAAAAAGTTGTGCATCTCTCTCTCTTGCTGGTTTTTGCCTTGCTCTTTGCATCTGGCCATGAGTGGCAGCCTGCCGTGCCACCCTGCCTTTTGGAGCCAGCTGAGTACAGACTCAAATCTCCAAAAGTGTAAGAAACAAACTTTTCCTTCCTTTATTTTGAGTGTCAGGTGTTTTATCCAAGCAACAAGAGAAAAGTAACTGTTGTAGTCAGGCGTTGTACACAGCGAACAACTAGGATTAGGACATGGAATTTATAATATTTTTATAATGGTCACCAGAATTTAACACAGGAAAATGCAGGAAATCTTTCCACAATATCAAAGACATAGATTATTTAGTCAAGAGCCTAAACCCCATGGCAATGTCCCACATGAGTCCAGATAAAAACCCAGAACTCAGGACAATGCCTCCCACGAGTCCAACTGGAGGGCCAGAGCCCACAAGAAGGACTCACACGAGTCTCTTTTACAGATCCATACCGGGAAGACCCAAGGGTCAGCGGTGGAAGCCAGGAAGTCTATGCCAGCAGGATGAAGGATCTGTGCTAGTGGGATGAGGGTTCTAGGCTGGAGCCAAGAAATCACACTCACAAAAAAGACCAGCGCTATACTGAAAGGCACCACAGCTGTTCTCAGTGACACAGAGGCTCCCGAGCTCCTCTGACAACAAGCACAGTCGGGTATGTGCCAGGAAGCAGCGTGATGAGTTCA